ATCCCCCACCCTCCCCCGGGGCCAGGAGCCCAGTTCCCGTGTTCACGTCCTTTTAAAGGTCCACACTGGCCCAGGGCTTGTCATGACGACCCAGGGGCTCCCCCTCCAGGTCCTTCGCCCGAGAACCCCTGCTTCGGCCAGGCTCTGCCCCCAAGACCCGCCTTCACACCCAGTTCGGCGCGGGTTTGCGGGAAGACGGCTCCCTCCAGAGCACACTGTCCCATCACCTAACGTCTCTCAGACCATGTCGGGTGGGCCCCACCCTGCGGGCTCCCCAGGTCTCTGTCCTCCTGGGTCCCCGGCAACGGCTGGAGCCGGACCCTGTGTGCCCCTGCTGGGCCCAGGGTCTCGCTGGCCGAGGGAGTACCACCCACACCCGGGCCGCAGGGTTGCCCCGGGGAGAGCAGCGGCCAGGAGGGCCAGGGGCCGCTCAGCTGCCCCGCTCTCTCTCCCGGCCCCTCTAGCACTGGCCGACTTCGACGAACCCAAGCGGTCAACCTTCGTGATGTTCGGGGTCCTCACCATTGCCGTCCGCGTCTACCACGACCGCTGGGGCTACGGGGTGTACTCGGGCCCCATTGGCACAGCCGTCCTCATCATCGCGGCTAAGTGGGTGCGTACCGTGCGACCCTCAATAGACGGCGCCCCTTCCCTGACTGTCTCCTCTCACCTCCCCCCACCATGGGCAGGCGGGCTGGGCACAGCTTTGGCTAAAACACATAGAACATGGCCCTCCGGTGCCCTGGCCACACAGATCCGGTTTGTATCGTGTCTGTGACTCACTAGCTCAGGACCTAAACCAAGATACTGAACCTCTCTGCCTCAGTTTCCATATCTGTCAAGTGGGCGTTACAGCAGCAGTCCAGTACCCACCTCATAGGGCTGGTTCAGAGATGACGCCTCTTAAGTCCTGGCACAGAGCTGGCTTCGAATGGCTCAGAAAATAGGGACTATTTATTTACTCTTATTCTCGAAGAGAGTCGGTGCTTTGGAGATGCAGTATCCATTGAAGATGTGGCCTGGGTGAATCTGGGCAGACTTCCTGGAGGAGGTGGGCCTCCAGCTTGGTTCTATGCGAAGGGAGGATGTGGTGTGAGGTTGACAGGAGGATGGAATTGCTCGTGAGTACGGAGGCAGCCTGAGTTTCCGACACCAACGGCCTTTCACTGGGCACCCGGAGGTCTGACACCCATGAGGCCCTTGACACATGGTCCCGGGGCCTCCCTGGACCCTCCGTGGTCCCAAGGCCCTCCTGGCTGCAAGAACCAAAACTTCCTCCCCTGGCCCACGCTAAAGAGGGCACTGCAACAGGATGGACCCAGCGCCGGTTCCTGGGTCCCCAGAGCAGGGAAGGGGCTGAGCCCTGCGGGGAGCAGAGCCCAGGCCCGGCACGCGGAGGGCGGCACTCCGGGAACAGGGCTCGGGCTGGGCAGGGGGTGCAGACGGTGCCCACAACCCATTTTACAGACTCAGGAAGGTAAATCAAGGCCTGGTGGCCAGCTCTCCAAACACCTGCTCCTCTCCACCCCGGGCGTAGAGGCTCTATTTAGCCATTTGGTTAATGAAGAAATAAGGTACCGAGAAACCAGTGAGGGAACAGGGCACGGCAGGGCGACCCCGGCCAGGCCTTGACTTTCCAGCGAGAGGAGAGAAGAGGGATCCCCCACTCCACGCTGGGGGAGCACAGCCGGCCCTGGGCTGACCCAGGAGGCCCCCGAAGCGGCCTGTGCAGGAGAGGAAGTGTGCTGGGTCCGCCGTCCGCCCGCGGC